GCTGTCCCATGGCATGACATGCTGTCCCATGGCATGACATGCTGTCCCATGGCATGACATGCTGTCCCATGGCATGACATGCTGTCCCATGGCATGACATGCTGTCCCATGGCATGACATGCTGTCCCATGGCATGACATGCTGTCCCATGGCATGACATGCTGTCCCATGGCATGACATGCTGTCCCATGGCATGACATGCTGTCCCATGGCATGACATGCTGTCCCATGGCATGACATGCTGTCCCATGGCATGACATGCTGTCCCATGGCATGACATGCTGTCTCATGGCATGACATGCTGTCCCATGGCATGACATGCTGTCCCATGGCATGACATGCTGTCCCATGGCATGACATGCTGTCCCATGGCATGACATGCTGTCCCATGGCATGACATGCTTTCTCATGGCAAGACAAGGTTCCTCAGAAGATAAATGCGATTGTGCAACTCTTAGTCCTGGCACAACGAGATGGTACGAACATGTGGCATGCGTCACGCACAAGCGTTGCGAATGGCTCAGTGCTCAAGCATGAAGCAGTGTGCTGTGCTGTGATGCTGTCCCATGGCATGACATGCTGTCCCATGGCATGACATGCTGTCCCATGGCATGACATGCTGTCCCATGGCATGACATGCTGTCCCATGGCATGACATGCTGTCCCATGGCATGACATGCTGTCCCATGGCATGACATGCTGTCCCATGGCATGACATGCTGTCCCATGGCATGACATGCTGTCCCATGGCATGACATGCTGTCCCATGGCATGACATGCTGTCCCATGGCATGACATGCTGTCCCATGGCATGACATGCTGTCCCATGGCATGACATGCTGTCCCATGGCATGACATGCTGTCCCATGGCATGACATGCTGTCCCATGGCATGACATGCTGTCCCATGGCATGACATGCTGTCCCATGGCATGACATGCTGTCCCATGGCATGACATGCTGTCCCATGGCATGACATGCTGTCCCATGGCATGACTCATGGCATGACATGCTGTCCCATGGCATGACATGCTGTCCCATGGCATGACATGCTGTCCCATGGCATGACATGCTGTCCCATGGCATGACATGCTGTCCCATGGCATGACATGCTTTCTCATGGCAAGACAAGGTTCCTCAGAAGATAAATGCGATTGTGCAACTCTTAGTCCTGGCACAACGAGATGGTACGAACATGTGGCATGCGTCACGCACAAGCGTTGCGAATGGCTCAGTGCTCAAGCATGAAGCAGTGTGCTGTGCTGTGATGCTGTCCCATGGCATGACATGCTGTCCCATGGCATGACATGCTGTCCCATGGCATGACATGCTGTCCCATGGCATGACATGCTGTCCCATGGCATGACATGCTGTCCCATGGCATGACATGCTGTCCCATGGCATGACATGCTGTCCCATGGCATGACATGCTGTCCCATGGCATGACATGCTGTCCCATGGCATGACATGCTGTCCCATGGCATGACATGCTTTCTCATGGCAAGACAAGGTTCCTCAGAAGATAAATGCGATTGTGCAACTCTTAGTCCTGGCACAACGAGATGGTACGAACATGTGGCATGCGTCACCCACAAGCGTTGCGAATGGCTCAGTGCTCAAGCATGAAGCAGTGTGCTGTGCTGTGATGCTGTCCCATGGCATGACATGCTGTCCCATGGCATGACATGCTGTCCCATGGCATGACATGCTGTCCCATGGCATGACATGCTGTCCCATGGCATGACATGCTGTCCCATGGCATGACATGCTGTCCCATGGCATGACATGCTGTCCCATGGCATGACATGCTGTCCCATGGCATGACATGCTGTCCCATGGCATGACATGCTGTCCCATGGCATGACATGCTGTCCCATGGCATGACATGCTGTCCCATGGCATGACATGCTGTCCCATGGCATGACATGCTGTCCCATGGCATGACATGCTGTCTCATGGCATGACATGCTGTCCCATGGCATGACATGCTGTCCCATGGCATGACATGCTGTCCCATGGCATGACATGCTGTCCCATGGCATGACATGCTGTCCCATGGCATGACATGCTGTCTCATGGCATGACATGCTGTCCCATGGCATGACATGCTGTCCCATGGCATGACATGCTGTCCCATGGCATGACATGCTGTCCCATGGCATGACATGCTTTCTCATGGCAAGACAAGGTTCCTCAGAAGATAAATGCGATTGTGCAACTCTTAATCCTGGCACAACGAGATGGTACGAACATGTGGCATGCGTCACGCACAAGCGTTGCGAATGGCTCAGTGCTCAAGCATGAAGCAGTGTGCTGTGCTGTGATGCTGTCCCATGGCATGACATGCTGTCCCATGGCATGACATGCTGTCCCATGGCATGACATGCTGTCCCATGGCATGACATGCTGTCCCATGGCATGACATGCTGTCCCATGGCATGACATGCTGTCTCATGGCATGACATGCTGTCCCATGGCATGACATGCTGTCCCATGGCATGACATGCTGTCCCATGGCATGACATGCTGTCCCATGGCATGACATGCTTTCTCATGGCAAGACAAGTTCCTCAGAAGATAAATGCGATTGTGCAACTCTTAGTCCTGGCACAACGAGATGGTACGAACATGTGGCATGCGTCACGCACAAGCGTTGCGAATGGCTCAGTGCTCAAGCATGAAGCAGTGTGCTGTGCTGTGATGCTGTCCCATGGCATGACATGCTGTCCCATGGCATGACATGCTGTCTCATGGCATGACATGCTGTCCCATGGCATGACATGCTGTCCCATGGCATGACATGCTGTCCCATGGCATGACATGCTGTCCCATGGCATGACATGCTGTCCCATGGCATGACATGCTGTCCCATGGCATGACATGCTGTCCCATGGCATGACATGCTGTCCCATGGCATGACATGCTGTCCCATGGCATGACATGCTGTCCCATGGCATGACATGCTGTCCCATGGCATGACATGCTGTCCCATGGCATGACATGCTGTCCCATGGCATGACATGCTGTCCCATGGCATGACATGCTGTCCCATGGCATGACATGCTGTCTCATGGCATGACATGCTGTCCCATGGCATGACATGCTGTCCCATGGCATGACATGCTGTCCCATGGCATGACATGCTGTCCCATGGCATGACATGCTGTCCCATGGCATGACATGCTTTCTCATGGCAAGACAAGGTTCCTCAGAAGATAAATGCGATTGTGCAACTCTTAGTCCTGGCACAACGAGATGGTACGAACATGTGGCATGCGTCACGCACAAGCGTTGCGAATGGCTCAGTGCTCAAGCATGAAGCAGTGTGCTGTGCTGTGATGCTGTCCCATGGCATGACATGCTGTCCCATGGCATGACATGCTGTCCCATGGCATGACATGCTGTCCCATGGCATGACATGCTGTCCCATGGCATGACATGCTGTCCCATGGCATGACATGCTGTCCCATGGCATGACATGCTGTCCCATGGCATGACATGCTGTCCCATGGCATGACATGCTGTCCCATGGCATGACATGCTGTCCCATGGCATGACATGCTGTCCCATGGCATGACATGCTGTCCCATGGCATGACATGCTGTCCCATGGCATGACATGCTGTCTCATGGCATGACATGCTGTCCCATGGCATGACATGCTGTCCCATGGCATGACATGCTGTCCCATGGCATGACATGCTGTCCCATGGCATGACATGCTTTCTCATGGCAAGACAAGGTTCCTCAGAAGATAAATGCGATTGTGCAACTCTTAGTCCTGGCACAACGAGATGGTACGAACATGTGGCATGCGTCACGCACAAGCGTTGCGAATGGCTCAGTGCTCAAGCATGAAGCAGTGTGCTGTGCTGTGATGCTGTCCCATGGCATGACATGCTGTCCCATGGCATGACATGCTGTCCCATGGCATGACATGCTGTCCCATGGCATGACATGCTGTCCCATGGCATGACATGCTGTCCCATGGCATGACATGCTGTCCCATGGCATGACATGCTGTCCCATGGCATGACATGCTGTCCCATGGCATGACATGCTGTCCCATGGCATGACATGCTGTCCCATGGCATGACATGCTGTCCCATGGCATGACATGCTGTCCCATGGCATGACATGCTGTCCCATGGCATGACATGCTGTCCCATGGCATGACATGCTGTCTCATGGCATGACATGCTGTCCCATGGCATGACATGCTGTCCCATGGCATGACATGCTGTCCCATGGCATGACATGCTGTCCCATGGCATGACATGCTTTCTCATGGCAAGACAAGGTTCCTCAGAAGATAAATGCGATTGTGCAACTCTTAGTCCTGGCACAACGAGATGGTACGAACATGTGGCATGCGTCACGCACAAGCGTTGCGAATGGCTCAGTGCTCAAGCATGAAGCAGTGTGCTGTGCTGTGATGCTGTCCCATGGCATGACATGCTGTCCCATGGCATGGCATGCTGTCCCATGGCATGACATGCTGTCCCATGGCATGACATGCTGTCCCATGGCATGACATGCTGTCCCATGGCATGACATGCTGTCCCATGGCATGACATGCTGTCTCATGGCATGACATGCTGTCCCATGGCATGACATGCTGTCCCATGGCATGACATGCTGTCCCATGGCATGACATGCTGTCCCATGGCATGACATGCTTTCTCATGGCATGACATGCTGCCCCATGGCATGACATGCTGTCTCATGACATGACATGCTGTCCCATGGCATGACATGCTGTCTCATGACATGACATGCTGTCCCATGGCATGACATGCTGTCCCATGGCATGACATGCTGTCCCATGGCATGACATGCTGTCCCATGGCATGACATGCTGTCTCATGACATGACATGCTGTCTCATGGCATGACATGCTGTCCCATGGCTTGACTGCTATGGCATGCTGTCTAATGGCATGGCATGTCACCATGTGGTGTCATGCACACCCTACCTGCTGATTCGCATGACCGCATCAATGCTAGTCGGCAGCTGATGCAGGCTTGCCACCCACCGACGGCTCTGATGCGACCCCAGCAGCGCATGGACGGCCGAGATGCTCCGACCGACGGCCTGAGGGCAGTAATGGAGCAGAGAAGGAGATTGAAGAGCGAAGGCGTTGAGGCACAAGACAAGGTACAACCCCAGATTCAAACGTCTCAGATATAGAGTTTTGAAACGTTATAGATTTTGAGTTTGGGATGTCTCAGCACTGCAGCATCAAGTTGGCTGATTATTCATTCCAACAACTTTTGCTGGTGATGCATGTCAAAGGTGGTCCTTGAGTCCACTCAACAGTCACTTGTGTGTCAGAGGTGGCATCATCACATACGGTTATCACAGGCGAGCAAAGAACTTTTGAGGCGCCTCAGAAAATCGTCTCTTATCATGCAGCTTGGATGCAAATGCCATAGCCCCCACTCACTCGCTCTCCCTTCCCATTGCGCCCAAACAACCACCCGTGCACCTCTAGAGATAGAGAGATGACTTCAGCAGGAATATCAGGGATTGGTTTCTTCCCAAACTCGTTCTTCCCCTTTTCCCCTCCCGCGCCTCCTGCCCCCCCTGCTCCCCCTGCGCCAACGTCCAGCTCTTCCCCTCGCTTTGAGTTCCCCCGTCCACCCCTACCCCTTCCCCTGGTACCCTTGCGCCTGCCCGGCTCCTCCCGCTCTGCCTCCCCCCTCCCCGCCTCACCCTTCCCCGCTTCCCCCCTCCCCGCCAGCATCCGGCCCGCGCCTTCCGCCTCCGCCACCACCGCGTCCACCGCGCCCACCAGCCCCGCAAGAGCAGCCTTCTCAGCGTCACCCGCACGCTGCTCGCTATTAGCAGCAGCATCCCCGTTAATAGCGTCCTCGCGGCAATCTCTAGGCGTTTCTGCAGCGGTACTCTTTGACGAGGAAGTGGCGGTGGTTTCACGGAGCAGAGCTTGAGAAGATTCGGCGAGTCTGCGGAGCCGAAGAAGCAACGGGTCGTCTTCCATCGCCGCAAAAGAATCCGTTTGGCTCGATGCTAGCGAGACACTTTCGGCTTCACGACGTCCGCTGATTCCGCGAATGTCGCAAAGAATTTAAACGAGGAGGAATTCGCAGTGCACTATCATGCTCCAGTGTCTAGTGTCGCAAGTGAACACAATGGCCGTGCGCACGTGGAACGAGTGGGTTGAGAATGCGGATATTCAACGGACAAGTTTCAGGGAAGTTGCAATTCTGTCAGACTTTCCCGCTCTTTTTTCCCAGATGCTTGTGGGAGCAGATCCCCTTGGGAATTCCGCGAAACTCGCTACTGTAAATGCCGTGTTTTTTTTTAAGACACCCACAAGAAGTCCAGGGTTGTAGGCTTGCAAGTAGTAGCTCTCATGAGAATAGGCTGCACGTTTTTCTTCTGAATTGAGGTGTACATTCAGCAGAAGCTAATAATGAGCAATCAAATAATTGAATAAGATGTCACTTACATACGACCTTGTAATGTCAAACCTTTATCTTCTTGGGATGTTGAGTGAAAGGTAGAATCTGAGCGAAGATTGAACCTTTTTTTATCTTAGCGCTAAAAAAAGGGCACAAATTATGGGATGAATCTGCCTATGGACTGAATACCGCGGTGAGAGCCACCCGAACCAATCCAGATTTCACCTCATTGCGCGTACACTACGTCCCACCAACTACCAGGAACATCTTCTTCCACGGTGGTGGTCATCAATTCCCTAACTTCACATCAGGTCTCTGTCTGATCAGGCACACCAATATCGATCAGGGATCAACTGCTTAGTAGCCATTTTTTTGTAGGTAGCTTTCGACAGTTCTGGACCCACATCGTAGACTTTCTATTTATTCGCTATCCCTCGCGCTAAGAATGATAGGCGGGTGTCGACGAGTCGCTTCGCCTTGTTATCTTCTCTTCCTATTGGCTCTTTTCCTCACCGCATTTCGCGGAGCTTCTGCCGTTCGGTTCACGCTAGACCAGTTCGAGTGCCTGACCTACTACGTGCATTACGTTGGCGACGAAGTGCATGGTAACTTCGTCGTCGTCAGTTCGCAAACGTGGGGCGAATGGGAGTCGCTGGGCGTCGACATCGTTGTAAGCACAGCACAATATCCCTCCCGCACTCCCGTTTCAATCACATTGACACATTTCACGGCCCATCTACCAGCCACCCATTCTGCTGTACATTGGTCAGGCAGTCAAGCGGGCTCCTTCGCTAGAAACACATAGACACGCCATTGTTTTCCCATTCAACAAGAAAAAGAGACATAAAGAGACGAAAAATGTTCAGCCTTTCCTCTCGTTCTCCGTGCAGCGTTTCACATGCAATATCCCGTCGGCCATCCTCATCCCTGGCCATGTCGTCCCCCCTTCCTCAACCTCCAGTTTCGACCGTGCATGCAGGACACGAGAGAATATCCGGAAGGAAACATTCGAGCTCGAGCCTCTGCGAGTCTTGAGGCCTCAGAAGTTCCAGAGGGCAAAATCCGAATCCAAATCCAACACATCCTACATTCCCTCTCTTTCCCTTCAACCCCTATCTCCTTAAAGGTCGACTATCGTTCCCTTCAACCCCTATTCCCTCTGCCGTTCCTTCCTCCCCTCGGCCGCCAAACAGGCGGAGGACCCGATAGGTACTACCACGTGCACTCGGCGCAGGGGCAGACGGAGGGAGTATTTGAGTTTGAGTCGATGCGCTTTCTTTCAGTAGCCCCCTTCCCTCTCTCCTGCCGCCTTCCTTCCCATCTTCGGCTGTTCAGGTGGAGGACCCGGACGGGTACCACGTGCACTCGTCACAGGGGCAAACGGATGGCGTGTTTTCATTTGAGTCGATGCGGGAGGGCGACTACAAGGTGTGCTTCACCAACAAGTCGCCCATCAACGAGGAGATTGTCTTTGAGCTGCACGTGGGGCACCACTTCAGTGAAAAGGAGCTCGCCAAGGAAGGTGTGCTGTGCGGTGCTGTGCAGTGGAGTGCGGTGGTGTGTGGTACTGTGTGGTGCTGGGGAGTATTGTGCAGTGCTGTGCGGTTCTGTGTGTGGTGCTGTGTGAGGGAGATTACAAGGTGTGCTTCACCAACAAGTCGCCCATCAACGAGGAGATTTTCTTTGAGCTGCACGTGGGGCATCACTTCAGCGAGAAGGAGCTCGCCAAGGAAGGTGTGTTGTGCGGTGCTGTGCGGTGGATTGCGGTGGGGTGTGTTACTGTGAGGTGCTGTGCGGTTCTGTGCGTCCGGTGCTGTGTGAGGGGGCGACTACAAGGTGTGCTTCACCAACAAGTCGCCCATCAACGAGGAGATTGTCTTTGAGCTGCACGTGGGCCACCACTTCAGTGAAAAGGAGCTCGCCAAGGAAGGTGTGCTGTGCGGTGGTGTGCTGTGGTGTGAGGTGATGCGCTATATCGTGTTTGTCCCTTCCTCCTTTCTCCCTCCCTCCGTTGTTCCATGCTCCCCTGGCCCGTGTCTCTGCCTGCCTTGCATCCGCCCGCCCATCTCCTCCCCTCTCACCCTTCAGAGCACATGGCTGATCAAAAGGGCAAGGCAAGGAAGCTGTAGGAGTGGGTGATGCTGCTGTGCTGTCCCCCACTCTTTTTGCACCCCTCCATCCCCTCTCTCTCGTCCTCATCACCCCTCTCCCCACGCCCCTTCTTCTCCTCTAACCCTCAGAGCACGTGGAGAAGACGTGGGACAAGGCGACGAACCTGTGTGAACGCGTGATGGTGCTGTCTACCTCTCTCCTCCTCATCATCACACCCGTACATCCCTCCTTCCCTCTCACTCCCCCCCCCCCCCCCCCCCCCCCCTCGCCTCCCACCCCACAGAGCACGTGGAGCAGACGAGGGACAAGGCGGCGAACCTGTACGAGCGCGTGATGGTGCTGTCTACCTCTCTCCTCCTCATCATCACACCCGTACATCCCTCCTTCCCTCTCACTCCCCCCCCCCCCCCCCTCGCCTCCCACCCCACAGAGCACGTGGAGCAGACGAGGGACAAGGCGGCGAACCTGTACGAGCGCGTGATGGTGCTGTCTACCTCTCTCCTCCTCATCATCACACCCGTACATCCCTCCTTCCCTCTCACCCCCCCCCCCCCCCCCCCCCCCCTCGCCTCCCACCCCACAGAGCACGTGGAGCAGACGAGGGACAAGGCGGCGAACCTGTACGAGCGCGTGATGGTGCTGTCTACCTCTCTCCTCCTCATCATCACACCCGTACATCCCTCCTTCCCTCTCACTCCCCCCCCCCCCCCCCCCTCGCCTCCCACCCCACAGAGCACGTGGAGCAGACGAGGGACAAGGCGGCGAACCTGTACGAGCGCGTGATGGTGCTGTCTACCTCTCTCCTCCTCATCATCACACCCGTACATCCCTCCTTCCCTCTCACTCCCCCCCCCCCCCCCCCCCCCTCGCCTCCCACCCCACAGAGCACGTGGAGCAGACGAGGGACAAGGCGGCGAACCTGTACGAGCGCGTGATGGTGCTGTCCATGCAAGCCAAGTTCCGCCACTCGCAGGCTCAGAGGCTCAACGAGTGTGAGTGAGGGAGAGGAGAGAGGTTAAGGAATGTGAGCAAGGGAGGAGAGGTGAGCTGGTGAAGGAATCTGAGGGGGGAGGAGGAGGAGAGAGCATGTATGAGCGCGTGATGGTGCTGCCGATGCATGCCAAGTTCCGCCACTCGCAGGCTCAGAGGCTCAACGAGTGTGAGTGAGGGGGGAGAGGTGAGAGGGTGAAGGGATGTGAGCCTGTGAAGGGATGTGAGCCTGTGAAGGGGAAGGAGAGGAAAGAGAGGCTGAACGAATGTGAGTGAGGTGGGGGCGGAGAGGTGAGAGGGTGAAGGAATGTGAGGGGGGAGGAGATGAGGGAACCTGTATGAGCGGGTGATGGTGCTGCCGATGCATGCCAAGTTCCGCCACTCGCAGGCCCAGAGGCTCAACGAGTGTGAGTGAGAAGGGTTGAGTGGAGAGAGGGCGAACGAGTGTGAAGTGAGGAGGACGGAGTGGGGACAAGTTGAATGTGAGGGAGAGGGGCGGAGAGGGGAGAGGTTGAAGAAATGTGAGTGCGAGGGGCGGAGATAAGAGCAACGATGAATGGTGAAGCAGATTGAGAGGCAGCATGAAAGTCGTTCGTAAGCCCGTTTCACACGCGTCAATGTTGAGCAGACGTGCAAGTCACCTCGGCACACATGCATCACCATCTCGCTCCCCTCCCTCCCTCCCTTCTATTTTCCTTTTTCTTCCATGTCTTCTATCCCCTTCTTCCTTCCCCATGTTCCCCCGCCACCCACATCCCACCTCCACCTCTCTCACGCGTCCTTTACCCCTCTCCTCCCTCGCAACTCCTCCAAATCCCCTGCTTGCCAGGCCAACTCATATGGTGAGGAGGGCTGTGCTCCCTTGGAGGCCTGTATTCATATTCATTCCCGCATGCCGCATCCCCTCTCCACGCACCCCACTTTTCCCACAACATCACCCCCTTTCACTCCCTCCCACACCTCCCCCCACTCCCCCTCCTTTTCCCCACCTCCTCCCCCTCGCGCCCTGCCCCTTCCCCCATCTCCCAGTCCTCGCGCCCTACCCTTCCCCCATCTCCCCCTCCCTGCACCCTGCCCTTTACCCCACCTCCCTGCCTCCGCGCTCCTGGCCCTTCACCCAACTGCAGTGGCCAAGTCCACACCACAACAGCGACGCTCATCCTCAAGGCTCCCCGCTTCCTCATGCACCCACTCCACCTTTCCTCCACCTCCCCCCCTCGTCTCTCCCTCCTCTCCTCCTCATTCCCCCATTCCCAGTGGCCAATACCACCACAGGAAGGCTTATCCTCCCACACCATTGCTCCCCCTTCCTCTCTCCCTTCCTACCTTCCTTCCCATTCCCCTACCCTGTCCCCATCCCCCCTGCCATCTCCCCCCACCGGTTTCCATTCCCAGTGGCCAACAAGACCACCACAGCAAGCAAGGCTCATCTTCAAGACGCCCTCCCTCCTCGTGTGCCCCACCTTTCCCCCACCTCCCCCTTTATCTCTCGCCTTCCCCTCCACCCCGTTCCACCCGCCCTGTTTCCATGCCCAGTGGCCAAGACCACCACAGCACGGCTCATCTTCAAGACGGCCGTCCAATCAGGCGCGCTCATTCTTTGCTGCTCAATCCAGGTGATGCTACAGTGCTACTCAGGTGATGCTACAGTGCTAGTCAGGTGATGCTACAATGTTACTCAGGTGATGATACAGTGCTAGTCAGGTGGTGCTACAGTGTAGACATGAGCACAAGGGCGAACACCTGTTCGTTCGAGGCGAACCGAACAGGTTTGTTTTTTCTGCTTAAATTGTTCGTCAAACAGTGTTCGAGGTTCGCCCGAACACGTTCGTGTTCGGGCCGCTGCTGCAATTTGCCCCGCGAAGAACACAAACGTGTTCGAGGTTCGCCCGAACACGCCTTCACAGGCGAACGGCGAACACCTGTTTTTGCTTGAAGTGTTCGCCAAACCGAACAGTGTTCGGTTCGGCAAACTGATGTGTTCGTGTAGGGGCGAACACGAACATGTTCGTGTTCACCCCTTACTCATCCCTACTACAGTGCTACTCAGGTGATGCTACAGTGCTAGTCAGGTGATGCTACAGTGCTAGTCAGGTGGTGCTACAGTGCTTTCAACAAGTCTGCTTTGCAATAATAATCGACACTAATCTTCCACCTCTTCCTCTCGCCGCACTACGGTGCTAGTCAGGTCACGTTACAGTGTTTGTTAAAGCAGAGGAGACAGGTTGCCTTGGCTTCTTGCACTTTGTTCACTCGGCAGTTTTCTCCACTCCCCCCATCCCTTTCCGCACCCTCCATCTCTTCAGGTGTATCTGCTGCACCGTCTCTTCGAACGCAAGCTGGGAAGGTCATTCGTCTGATTGCGCTGCTGCGCTGCAACACCCACTGAACACCCATGATTGTGGCCAGCACAAGGGAGACGAACCCGCTTTATCTGGCGGATCTATTTATCCTCGCTACACTTTACAGCCCTCAACTGCCAGGAAAAGTGGGTATCAGTATCAGATACACACCTGATTGACAGCTTATGGATAAATACGACGGTACCGTTATGTACGGTATCTGGGTATCAGGCCCTCATTTGCACTTCAATACTTCGAAGGGAGTGAATAAGATCTAGTAAGGGCGTGTTCCTACAGCCTCTTATGAGGGAAAACCCTTGTCAGACTCGAGTCGCATCACTCTGTAACGCACGTGCGGTAATCACGTTCAATCCCACCGAAAAGTATTGAAGCGTAAGTCTGACAAGAGGTGTGTCTGATAAGAGGTAGGAACACGCCCTAAGACTGAGCATCTTGCATCACGATGACAAACCGGCAAACGCAATCAACCTGCAAATTAAAATGTTGAAAAGACAACGTTGCTCGCATATGACCCATTTCAGTCATCCATCCGCTTGGATCTCAAGAGGCGGCAGCTGCAAGTCCTCCGCTGCTCCTTCGTATGCATCCATGGCGTCCTCGTTGAATAGAATGAAATGCACCTGCTCGCATGCACACGCACATGGGCACACACACACACACACACACACACACACACATGCACACACACACACACAAACGCGCACACACACGCACACACACACACACGCACACAAACACATACACACACACACACACACGCGCGCGCGCGCGCGCGCGCACACAAGGGCACAATGATGAGGGGGAGTGGCGTTCATATGCATCCATGCCCTCCTCGTTGAATAGAATGAAATGCACCTGCTCGCATGGGCACAAGCACACGCACGCACATGCACACACACAAGGGCACAACGATGAGAGGGGGGTGGTCTTCGTACTCATCCTTGGCCTCCTCGTTATAGAGAATGAAATGCACCTGCACGCATGCCCAGATGCATGCACGCACGCGCGAACACATACGGTACATGCATGCGCACCAGTGCACGCAAAACGCACACGCAGCCACGCTTACACACGCAGCCACGCTTACACACGCAGCCACGCTTACACACGCAGCCACGCTTACACACGCAATGGAAGCCCCTTCGAACATCTCATGAAAGATTGAAGGCAACAATGAGAGGCACGGTGAGAGGCACGGTGAGAGGCACGGTGAGAGGCACGGTGAGAGGCGAACTGACCTCTGAAAAGCCGGCACAGGTTGCTTGAAGTGCCTTGAGTGACACTTGGGCAGCGTCGGGAAACGGGTACCTGCAGAGGCACGCAGCATGACAGGCACGCAGCATGAGAGGCATGCAGCATGAGAAGCATGCAGCATGAGAGGCATGCAGCATGAGAGGCATGCAGCATGAGAGGCATGCAGCATGAGAGGCACGCAGCATGAGAGGCACGCAGCATGAGAGGCATGCAGCATGAGAGGCATGCAGCATGAGAGGCATGCAGCATGAGAGGCATGCAGCATGAGAGGCATGCAGCATGAGAGGCATGCAGCATGAGAGGCATGCAGCATGAGAGGCATGTAGCATGAGAGGCATGCAGCATGAGAGGCACGCAGCATGAGAGGCATGCAGCATGAGAGGCATGCAGCATGAGAGGCATGCAGCATGAGAGGCACAGGGAGAGACGCACAGCACACAGCACACAGCACACAGCACATCAAGGGTGTGCAGAGAAAACCAACAGATGGGAGTTGAAAGGATTCCAGCGGCAGCTTGATTAGAGGATGGAAGGTCAAGGAATCTCGTACACCTACATGAACAGCATGAACAGCATGAACAGCATGAACAGCATGAACAGCATGAACAGCATGAACAGTGCCTGAGTAAACACAGCAAGAACGGTTGAAAACGATGCCTACTTGCTTAGAGGTAACGCTGACTCAGACACACATGATGCTGACTCAGACACACACGATGCTGACTCACCCATAGATGCCACACGAAACTGCCGGGAAGGCGATGAACTTGACATGCGCCTTGCGAGCCTCCTCCATAGAGCGACTGGGAGAGGAGAGAGGGGGGAGGTGGGGAAGGGGATGGGGAGAGGGGAAGGGGATGGGGAGAGGGGAAGGGGATGGGGAGAGGGGAAAGAGGGGAATGGGGGTTGAGGCATGGCCTAACGAGCCTCCTCCATGGAGCAGCTGGAGGACGGGGTGACGTGGAGGATGGGGTGACGTGGAGGATGGGGTGACGTGGAGGATGGGGTGACGTGGTGGATGGGGTGACGTGGAGGATGGGGTGACGTGGAGGATGGGATGGGGTGACGTGGAGGATGGGATGGCATGGAAGGCAGTGGCGTGGTTGACCGAAACTTGACCAGCGTTGATTGAAGTTGACCAGCGTTGATTGAAGTTGACCAGCGTTGATTGAAGTTGACCAGCGTTGATTGAAGTTGACCAGCGTTGATTGAAGTTGACCAGCGTTGACAAGTGGGTTGGCCTAAAGAGGCCAACGTTGACACACACGTAGGCGGTGAAGAGCACGCATCAAGCAAGGTTGACTGGAGTTGACCAGCGTTGACCAACGCTGACCAGCAGAGGTCAGCATGACTCACGCGTAGGCGGAGTGCAGCAGAGGCGCAGAGCGCTGTGTGGAGGTGTAGATGGGCCCCACCGTGTGAATGACGTGCTTCACTGGCAGCTCGGCCGCTCTGATGGAGCGGGGGAGAGGAAGGGGGGGAGGGGGGGGAGGGGGGGAAGATATTGAGAAGTGGGAGAGTGGAGAGATGAGGGACAGAAAGTGATAGGCCCACCGTGTGAATGACGTGCTTCACTGGCAGCTCGGCCGCTCTGGTGGAGGGCAATTGGAGGAGGACATGGGATGAGGGGGAGAGGAAGGTGAGGAGGGCGGGGGGAGAGGAAGGAGAGGAGGGCGGGGGAGAGAGACAGATGGGTCACTACCATATGGATTACATGTTTCACTCTTACCCCTTACAATCATGCTCACCCCGTGCGCATATCCTGCCCTGTGGGCCTGTGGGGCACCTGGGCACCTCACCGCGCTCTCACACCATCGTGCCCCTGCACTCACATCACGCCCCGTACAGTCACACTCACGCCCCGTACAGTCACACTCACGCCCCCTACAGTCACACTCACGCCCCGTGCAGTCACACTCACGCCCCCTACAGTCACACTCAAGCCCCATACAGTCACACTCACGCCCCGTGTAGCCACACTCACCCAGTGCACACAGCCTGCCCTGTGGGGCACCGCACCCCTCTGCTCACTTCTGGCACCGCTTTGCACTCCCTCACCAGGCCCGGCCCTGCTGCCCTGTGGATGGCTGGAGGAGGGGAGAAGGGGAGGGGAGAGATGGAAGAGGGGAGGCAGAGGAGGAAATGAGAGAGGGGATGCACAAAGGAGTTCACCCATCGGTTTGCTTGCTACACTGATCTGCATTCCCTCACAAGCGTTGGCCCTGCAGCACTTTAAATGGCCGCAGGGAAGGGGCGGTGAAGACAGGAGGATGTGAGGTGGGGGACAGGAGAGAAGGAAAACGGTGAAACGGGAGGCTTTTTGAGAAATCCTCCGACATGGTCTCAAAGCAGCAGTGAGAAAGAGAAGGCTCCAAGAAAGGAAGGCTTGTTCTTTGGAGAGAAAACGATTGTCATGGAGAGAAACGGGTAAGAATATATGATACTTGTTTGCCATTTGCTTTATATTTGCTCTTTGTTTGATTGTTAATCGCTCAAATATGGAGTTGAGAAGGGAGGGAGAGTGAAGCACCAGGCAGTATGGAAAGAAGGATGGAAGGAAGGATGGATGGGATGAGGGGAGAAGCTCACCTCCGTCCACTCCCCCTCCTCCCAGCATTCTCTCATTGGCTGCATTCACCTGTGTGCAGTGCACACACGCACGCACACACACACACACACGCGCGCGCACGCATGCATGTACACACCCAAACACACAAACACACAAACACACACACACACACAAACACACACACACACAAAAGGAGTTGAAGTGCCTTGAGGTGCGCATCATGCTGATAACGAATCTGAAGGCATGCTGACAGCTGCCTTACATTAAGTTATCTCTCCTCAACCATTCGATAGAAGCACACCCGTTATAAGAAGACTCACTATAGCGTCGGTGCGCCCATCCACGAACCACTTCGTGAGGTCGCCTCGCTGCAGCACCAGCACGCACCCCTCCTCCCCCAGCAAGTACGCGGAAGCTTCCGTGAACAACTCGCTGTGCGCCTGGCGCAGCTTGTACACCGTCGGGCGCGCAGGGGGCGCGGCGGGGGAAGGCTCGGTGGGGGGAGCGGCGGGGGAGGGAGCGGTGAGGGGAGCAGCAGCGGAAGCTTCCTGAGGCTCCCCAGGTGCAGCGGGAGCAGCGGCGGGAGCAGCAGAGGCGGCAGCAGCAGCGGGGGTTGCGGAAGGGAGAGAGTCGGGTTCAGAAGACGACGAGGACGCACCGTCGCGCTTCGCCTTCTTCGCCGCGACTTCCGCCGCGGTCCGCGCGTCATCCGCCGATCCTTCCCCTCCTTCCGCCGGCCGCTCCGCTTCCTCTGCAGCGGCAGCCTCGGCGGGGCGGGAAGCGCCCGCCGCGGCGACGCGGGGCGGAACTTCCGCGTCCGATGGAGCACCTGAGTCCCCCATTCCGCTTTTCGCGAGAGTAAATCGAGATCGGACGGTGCAGAAGCCTGCTACCCGGTTCTTCGGAGCAAGGCTGGTGGTTCGGCAATCCCAAGGCGCGGCCTCGGAGGGAAGGCAAGTGGCTCGGCACGCCAAAGCTGTCGCCTTGGAGCGAGATTGGGTGGATCGGAACTCCCAAGATGCCGCCTTGGAAGGAAAATCCGTCACCGGAGAAGAATGAAGGGTAGGGAGGAGTGACGCGAAGACGAAAACAGAGGAAAGGCCGCGAAAAGGAGCGAGCTTGATGCTAGCAGACGGTGACTGTGACTGAAGCGAGAGGAGCGATCGAGGAGCGGCCGTGGGACGAAACGCGTGGATGGAAGACGAAGTGGGGGGTGAAGCGGATGAAGAGACGAAGCGCGCCGCGTTGATCGTTTTACTAGCCGACGCTGGACGACTAATTCTAAGTAACGTGGTGCTCCTGTGTTCGCGTAAAGCAGCGGGGTGCGCTCGGAAAAGGCGGGACAAGGCTAGGCAGGGTCGCACCATGGGGATCGCCGCGCGCAATCAGGCAGAACGGGTTGGCGCGGGCGGGGCGACAGGCAGCCAATGCGGACTGGCAATGACTGCTGAGGTGGACTGGTCTGCAACGTACGTCACAAGGCACTGCCTTGCCGTGTCAAGCGGCTGAATCAGACATGAGCGGCTGTCGTGTCACCACTGGATCCAGCTTGTGGGATTTACCTTACGCTGTGTGTGTTCGTCTGGGTGCGGCTGAATGAGATAACATACTTCGTGGAACGGTCAATCTGGTAAAATAATCGGTTGGGTAGGGTATCGAGCAAATAGGAACGTGTGGGAAACTCTTGGGCAGTTCCCAGAAGTTTAACTTTCTGTTCAGAACAAGCGGTTTAGCGCAATCCAGTGCGGTTTTGCTACTTCACCACTTTGAACCTTGACACACCAGCCTCAACATCTGAACTTTGGAACTTGGGTCACTACCCCAAGAGGACCACTCTACAACGCTCATTTGGCGTACCAAGGAGTCAACGCTTGATCATCTAGTTGAGGCAGCCAAAAGAGGGGACAAGGATTGGTACATGCTGTTTGTGAATTTCAAAGGCATGTACCGTATGGCCCCGGATTTAGGCGCCGTCCGATTAAGAGCGCCGGCGCTTCTATCTGGAGCATGGCGCTTATGGCAGGAACTCGATTATAAGCGCGCCCCCTCTAGAGGGTGGACTTATTATAAGCGCACCCCTTCCACGTTCTGGAGGTTTCATTACGAAATATGAACAATTAACACTAAAAATGAACATGATAAATTTTCACCTACAACATACAGTTTTATAGACACTAACACTAACACTAAACTAGAAATTGCTAAGTTTAGCATTTCTACTGAGAAAATCTACTCCTCGTCGGATTCGGGCTCCTGGCAGTTGTTGCCAAAGAAGCCATCGGCGATGATGGAATCATCGACGTCCACCTCCGCGGTCAGCTGGCTCCGCCTGTGCGCCATGGCGAGGCCGTCCTCACTGCCGTCAAGCGCGTTGCTGATGCCACAGGTGAGGAAGGTGCGCTTGATGAGGTCCGCGGGCACTGCTTTCTAGGCCCGTGAGATCCACCTCACGACCACCTCTGGGGGTGGCTTCTTCAAGTTCCCTGTACCAACAGAATCACACAACATTTAGTTAGCGCAACAAAAGGGGGGACAATCATCTACGGTAAGATAGGGACTCGCGTGCCTATCATACCTGCTCTGGTTAGCTGTTCTTGGCCTTCTTCCTGAAACCACTTCTGATACTGCTGGCGGACGCTCGCCTTAAAGCTCTTGTTGATGCAGACGTCGAGGGGCTGTACCTCCGCCGTGCAGCCAGACGGGATGATCGCCGGCACGCAGTTGAGCTCGCGAAACTTCTCCTTCACCCCCTCAGTGAGGTGACCACGGTACGAGTCCAGTACGACCATCGAGCTTCGCGCATGCCTCCCGAACCCAGGCTTTAAAAAGGGCTTGACGCTCTCCTCAAGCCATCGTATGAAGCCTTCCACGTCCATCCAGCCGTTCTCGTGACACGCCACGACCACATCTGCATAACAAAGAAGCTTCTGTAAGTTTCTCGTAAAAACCAGGACCGATGAAAAGCATACAAACAAGAATCATGACTGACCCGGCGGGAACACCCCTTTCGGCACGGTCTTCCGCTTGAAAAAAACCCACGGCTTCAGCTTCATCTCGTCCGCCGTGCACGCCAACATCACAGTCACGCGCTCCTTCTGGTACCCCGCGCTCCTGATGGACACCGACCGAACACCGGTTTGATCGACGGTAGTGGTGGCGGGCATCTCCAGCCACAGCGGCGTCTGGTCGGCGTTGATAATCCACGTCGTCTCGATGCCGCGCTCCCGACGCTTGTCACGGACGAATTGCCAGAACTTCTTGCACTGCTCCGCGACATCTGCGGTTGAGCACGGTTACGGTTAGTGAGTAACAAGTGCATACACATGGCATAGAGAATAAAATTGATTCTTACGGGCGGCGGTTTTATGGGCGACCTTCGTCTTCATTCGCACGCTGAGATTCCACCGCCGACGGAACCGGTCCGACCACCGTTGGCTCCCTTTCCACTTCACGAGGGGGTAGAGAATCTTCATGAACTCCCGGGACCACTCTTGCAGGCGGCCGACGGACACCGCAGTTCCCTTGCGTTGCCAGTCGAGCAGTCGCTCATACACCTTCATCTCCATCGGGCGGTACCACGACGCCCTGTCGCTACCGTGCATGCGGCACCTGGCAGAGTGGGCTTCCTTGAGGAAATCAGCCGCACGCTTCTAGTTGGCGAGGCACTTGCGGTGGATGCCACTCTCGCGAGCCAGAGCGCGCACCGACACCGCCACATCCAGCTGCGCGACCCACTTCAACTTCTCAGCGGCAGTATAGGCCTGGCGCTTGTGGTCGTTGGGCTTGTGGCTGGGAGAGGGGGGGCGAGAATCACGGTTCTGTGAAGAAGGGTGAGGTCGCTTTCGATTACGTGGAGGATAAGTTGGTATCGGGAGTTTCTCGGGGAGGCCATCGAGTGACCAGTATTCGACGCCGTCGTCGTCGTCACCTCCCGGCGCACCCTCGGGAAACACATCCTCAGCAGTGCCGGCCTCAGTAGCGGCCTCGGTGTCGGCCTCAGTGCCACCCTCAGCGACGGCGTCGCCCTCAGCGCGCCAATCTTCCTCGGCGTCTTGCACGTCGTCGTCAGCGCCGACTGCAGATTTGTCCCACGTGAAATTTTCCGGCTGGCCCCAACGTGGTGCTGGCGCTGGAGCGGGTACGTCAACATCGGGGCCCTTGTCATAATCCGGTTCCGACAGATACTCGTCGAACGCCGATGGGAGCAGGAGCGTGAGCACGGGGTGGTTGTCGATGTGAGGGGCCAACGGACACGGAGGAGACGGAGGTATGCGGCTATACCACCCGCCAGCTGTAACACGGTACGCGGGCCTACTAGAAGGTTTTTTCTTGAAGAGAAAATGAGTGCCTGTGAATTCCGCCATGGCTTCCGCAGCCAGGCGGGCGAGAACAAGAAGACTGAATAAAAGACTGCAACCCTAGGTGTTGAAATGGGAGATTGAAGGGGACCCCTTCTGGTTTGCGGCTCGGGGTCCTCGTCGATGAGAGACGAGTACACCCCTGCCCCAACCCGTAGAAGAGGGTTGGGGGCACCATCCATGCTGCGCTGGCATGGCAGATTCCATCACGTTCTGGATGGTTCTGCCGAGATGCTCCTGCTTGGCAGCGCATGCCAACCTGATTGGGCCGCACGGCAGGTTTTGCATCAGCGCTGGCAGGTGCGTTGCACCGGGACGGGTTTTGTGCGGTGGGAAATCGAACCGTGGCAAGTTTCGCTGTCATTCCATGCACGACCCCGCGCGCATGGTACAGTGTTGTATTCGCCTTATTGAGGGCTTCAGAATGATATCCTTTACATTGAAATTCAGTTTTGCCTTTATAAAAGCGCCGGAGCTTATGGCCGTTACTCAATTACAAGCGCCCCCCCTAAAAAAAAATAATTTATTATAAGCGCATATGCGCTACTATCCGGGGTATTACGGTAGGATCAGGTGCACCAAGTTATCGTATTATTGACAATACCATATAAAAACAGGGTTCCTCAACAGGTTTGTCTTCTTGGCAAGTGCCATCACTATGACGTGTGTGCAAGGGTATCAATCAACAGTTAAACAGGGAAAGGGGTGAAGTGAAGGTGTAAACATGGGTGGCACACTAACGGAAGGTGAAGCAAGCTGCGGACGGCTGCCATACATCAGATACGCGGACCATGTGTCGCTACTAATCAATGGGGAACAAACAAGCGAATGGACTACCGTGTTACGGGAATCTGCCAAGGCATTAGGCCTGCGTGCGTACCAACGTCTCCACATCTGCGCTAGTTCCCGCTCGGAAGGAATGCGAAGCAAAGACATCCTCTCCCAGCCCATGCAAGGACCAGCCCATAAGAGTTGGAGAGTGGTTGGCATGGATGCAGTGGAGCGGCTCCTTGGACTCTAGGTGTCATTGAGCGGAGTAGCAAGTTGGTAAAAGTGTGGTTACATCATTCTACCGGCACGGTAATACCCGTTTACAGAAATGATAAATGCATCCATTTGATGCTAAGACTCCAAACCCCTGGAGCATTTGTAGTTTGGAGCAGGGCCTCAGATTCACTTTTAGGGTCGTCGACCCATCAGGGCACCCTTGTGTAGAAACCCTGATTGACAGTGTTCCTAAAAAAAGCCTGAAATATCAGTGTTGCCTTTGAAAAAAGGCTGATGCATCAGTGTTCAATACTATAAAAGGCTGTTATAATTAGAAATCTCTATTTTATGTACTAAGTCAGTAGCAACCTTCCGAAACATTGCTAAGCTAACATGCCTCATGAATCATCACCAGCCGTGCTATCATCATTGCCCTTAGCCTTTGGTTCTTCTCTCTCCTCCTCAGCTTGGGACACCAGTACGTGATAGTGCTTTTT